GGCTTGCCTCAGCTTTTGGTCGCTCAAAATACAAAAAGGAGGTCCCCGTTCCACCCGCGTCGCTTGAGCCAGCTGCATTCAGTAACAGTGTTTGCGCCACCAGGAACGCACCGACATCTCACATCCCAGCTAGGCAAAAAAAAACAAATCTTTGTTGCGAAATGACGCGGCCTTCCAACAGGAAACAAATTTGCAATTGCACGCAAAGCGGTGTGTACATGGACTGGGCGCGCGGCGATATGAGAGTTGCTTTGAAAACGAACAGCGCCTAGTGAGCCGCGTGTTGATCTTGCACATTAGTTGTCCCCCGCGCAGGGTCAGTGCAGCAGTTACGAGCACCGACGCGCGTGGGCCGTGGCGGGGGGAGAAAGCAACGCAGACGCTGTTCCTGCCTCAATGATCCAACGTTAACGTGGGAATTTCCGACTTTCAGAACGGTATGTCAACAGGCCAAAGCAAGCAACACACCGGGAGTTTGGGCGACATCGCAAGGCCCGTGCCACGGCAACGCTGCACGTCTCCCAGCGATGTTGGAACGTTGAGCCGCCATGTGTTTAACGCATCTTGTAGTGTGAGCACGGCGAAGGATCCCAACTTTTTCTTGGTGCTGCAAAACATCATGATGCCGAGAACATTAAATTGGGTCCTGCAAAACTGTTCTAAAGGCTCGCTGCTCTCACCTGGTCTGGAAGCCCCCTCTGTTTGTCAGCAAGTCCATGATTCGCGGCAACGGCAGGCTCACTCTTCATTGTTTGCGAGGCCTGGCCTGGACGGACAAGTATGAGGATGTTTCCCCGTGAGACAACCCCAAGCAACCACGTGCGGTTCCTTTTCAAGCAAGCCAGGATGCGACACGGAAACCGTCGGAGATGGGTAAACATTGTTCAAAATAGAGGATGCTTTGGCGCGGCCCTTGCGGTTTCCAACCGTCGCCCCGCCCTGAAGGGCAAAGGCCGCGCTAGAGGGTGTTTCATCCAAGAGTTCCAGTGGAGGTGGCCCCTTTGCGGTGAAGGGAATGCATTCGTGTTTGGGACTCACTGCCCAAAAAGAAGGAGAAGCCAAACATGCGCGGCAGCCAACCATTGCAGTCGCCAAGGCCTTGCCCCTGGTAAAACACAGAGGCTGCCTTCTTTGAGAACCCTTTGAACGGCTCCCCTGAAAGTAACCCCCGCCCATGTCCCAGTGACCCTTCTCGGAGTTTGACATGTTTAACATGTTGGCGTCACTCAGCAGCTGGAGGCATCTGTTTGGCACCAGCAAAATTATCCCGGCAACACGCCGTAAACAATGATTGGACAACGTTGTGGCACAACAATCCACGCGCCTAACATAAGAAGCCGCCACCAGCTCGCGTGCTTCTGCGCGAGGTTTCTGAAACGAGCACAGAGGCCTATAGCACGCGCTCTTCCAAAAAACGACCTTCTGAAAGCTCCTACAGAAGATTTCCCGTGGAAGAGGTTCCTTGCAAGAATGCTCGGGGAGACATTCTACGAACGTTTTTGTAGAAAGTCCTGGACAAGAGCTCTGTGAAAGGATCCTTGCAAGAACTGCGGATAGTGTTTTGGTAGGATCTCTTGGCAAGACCTGTGTGCGTCCTGGAGAGAATCCTCTACAGCTCTCTCATCAGGTTGTAGAGAGCGTCCTTTACAAGATATCTCGCAAGGAAATCTTTGCAGGTCCTGCGCAAGACCTCGACCGGCGCAAGATATACTTGGGGGTGAGAGGATCTGCGCGAGACGTCTTGACAGGACCTCTACGATAAACCAGCGCAATTCTTTACATGAACCCTGCGCAAGATTCTGGGTACACGAAAGGGCCTTTATGTCAAAGTTCCGTGTTCAAGCTATCCCTGCAACACACTTGGAGGATAGAGGATCCCCATGAAGGACCAGCGCGAGATATTCTTGAGAGACTAGTGAAGGATCTCTGCGCAAGATCTCTTGGTTGGAGCTCTTGGCACGATTTGTGCGCAGGGTCCATAAGAGGATCCTCTATACATTAAAGTCTTTGTGTCCAGGATCTGTAGAGAGCACCCTCTACAAGATCTCTTGCAAGATCTTTGCAGGTCCTGCAAGTCGCTGTGTGCGTGACTTGTGCGCCACAACCAAAGCCATCCAATCCACCCAAAGTTCGCAGAGGGTCCTCGTTCGATCTTCAGGATGCGGCCGCACCCCAAGCCAACGGAGGGCTGACTTTTGGATTTCACGCAGAAATCCACGCGCACGGCGCCACAGCGACTCCGCAAAGGGTTGACTTCAATGCTTAAAAAGCGCAGTGCCACAGAGAGAGAGAGAGAGAAAGACAGGGACAGAGAGAGAGAGAGAGAGAGAGAGAGAGAGACAGAGAGAGAGAGAGAGAGAGAGCTCCAACACGCCCCAAGTCCGCAGAAGATGCACCAATCCACCATTTCCAGAACTTGCAAGAGAACGCAGCGAGAACACACCATCGAACGATCAAATTCGTCCACGCACTTTGCGCGCACCTGCGCAAACGAACCCTCGTCGACCCCGGCCCCACAATCCCCTAGCGTAAGAACCCTTGTAGACACTGCGTGGGAAAACACACACACACACACACACACCACGCGAATCAAAAGGAATCTTGCACACTGTCTATGCACCCCCTTCTTTGAAGGTTGTTGAATGAAACCAAAAGAGATGGTGGTTGACCCTTTCAGCAACGGACACCTTCGCTCATCAGAGCCCTCCCTCAGGCACCTCCGAGTCGTGGCCCTTGCGCGGCCTGCGGCAGCTTCTTGCACGGTCCAGACGCAAAAAGTGACAGTCCAACTCCGGAAAGCGAAAACAGGCTTTGAACTACTAGGGGGCAAATCTCTGCAAGGTTTCTTCTGTTCCTAGGACAGACTTTTCCTAGCGCTGGTTCTTGTTCGGGCAACATCCCCAGCATCACCTGGACCAGGGTTGTGGGCTAGTTCTTGCTGGTTTGGGGCAACGCTCCAAAAGCAATCGCAAACGAGACCAAGACTCACTTAACCACACTCTAAAGCAACCCTAGAGCCGCTGAGAAACCAGCAACACACGTAACAATTAAACCAGCAACCAACCAACCAACCAGCCAACCAGAACTAAGCAAAACCAGCCCTTGGCAAAAAAGCCTCATCGGGTCGCGATCCCTACGCAAGAAAGAAAACGCATTTCGCGGTGTTTGAGTGGGCCCCGTCACTCAAGGGACCCGCCGCCACTTTGTGGCTGTGAAAGGGAAAATCTCTCAGCGGGTGAAAGCAAACTTGAAACGCCGTGAGTCTCCCGTTTCATTGGGTCAAAATTCGACACAGATCTCAAGGCTTGCCCCCTTTTTTCTGCTGGTCGCCCTTTGCCAGTCAGCGCTTCTAGGAACCGTCAAAACCAGGTCAAACCTTTGTGGCGTCAGTTGGCGGTCCTTTTTCCATGGGCCAAACTGAGACTTGCGCAAGTCAACTTTTCCTGGTTAAAAGTGAACAATTTGGGAAGCGCAAAGGGCAGAAATGCGAGTTCTGTCCAATCTTCACACGGGCCCAGGGTTGCGGTTCCTTCGTGCAGCGAGGGTTATGAGGCTGTAAGGCTACAGACCTTCAACCCATGTGAGAGGCTGGAAGCAACTGCCACATAATTTCTTTCTTTCCAGCCTCTCGCATGGTACATTTGCTTCTTCGGGACTTGGTGGATTCATGTCCAACCACTGGTAAGGTGGTTCTAGCTCTCAAAATTTTCATAGCCACATCTTGGCAATCATTCTTGCCTTGTCCGGCTTGGCGGATGCCCTGTTTCTGGAAAGGAGTGTAAGCTTCGAGCTTCCGGGACCGCGTGATGCTTTTCGCCAGCCATTGGTGGGCTCTCAGTCGCTGGTGACTTTTCAGGTTCATCCTGGGGGTGTCTCGATCAAACATTGGAATCCCCTCAAATGGCGATGTTCCTTCCGGTTTAGAACCCGTGCCCTTACAAGAAGCTTCCGACACGGGGCTGCTGTCCGGGATGGGGGGGCGGTGTTTTTACTGCCCCAAGGTACCCCTTAACCCAGGAGTGGTTCATTTGCCAAAAAAAGAAAGAAACCAGGCCCCGGGGTTTTCCATCGGACACCCCATCTCTAATAACTTGGGCCCACGCAAATCTATGCGCAACGCTGGGAAGGCTGCCCCAAGCCTCAGGCACAATGACGGACGCAAACGTCGGAAAGGCGATACTTACTGCCGAGGACCTGGAATTAAAAAAGGACGCCTGTTCGGACGTTGGCTAAACCAACATGTGATAACGGATATATAATATGTGTGTGCCTTGGGCAAGCAAGGCAGACTCAAACCAGGCTTTGGTTTGCGGCTTGCTTGAGACTGGTCAGGAATTGGCAATGGTTTTCGTTGCGAGTGTCCCATGCCTCAGAGGGGTTCTACGCACCGTTTGAATCAAGGTTCCCAAACCTCCGAAGAAACGCTGGGCAAAGCAAATGGGATGGGTCAGTCTGGGGTACGGCACACCAAAACTAAATATGTTCAAAGTATGTTCATTTATGGGGGGAGGGGGGCGTTGATTTTTCCTTTGAGGGGACCCTTTGTTGGTTGGTTTCAAAGGCAACAACAAAAAACACTAACCATTTTTGGGGGGTTCCCCCAAAAAAGACAAGCCCATATTTTGTCTACCTCAAAATGAACAGTATTTGAGAAGACCCCAAAGGCAGCTGCTCGGCCAAGCCAAGCTGCTAAGCTTGGCCGAGCTTCTGAGGGCTTCTCAGCTTCTCATGGGCTCTAGCAAGGATAGGGGCATCAGGGTACGTGTCTGGCCCTCGGCCCGCACCTCAAGGTTGCTCCGGAGCAGGCGAGATCGATTCCGAAGAAGGGAAACCAAACAGGACCAAAAACAACGTTCCATCCCTACCCAGCACGCCCCAACGGAAAGTGCTTCGGGTTCTGGGCATAAAAAAAAGCAGTGATTGCGGGGTGCTGGACTTTGAAATGGTTGGGAATTCACTGTGAGCACTGATGTCTGTGCCGCTGCCATCTCACACGTAACTTAAACCCCACCTGATTTGTCTAAGTGGAGCCTCCGCAGCGATAGATGTGGCTTCCACCCCAATACTAAACAAAAAAACACTCTGCCAAACGCAAATCACGCCTCTCCTTCCTACAACCTACAATCTCTCCCGCAAAATCCACTCTAAAACTGGCTGGTCCTCAGCAGGGAATGAGGGACTGACCCCTTGAAACCATCCCCCCTACTGCTTCCTGTAAGGGAATCCCCAAAACCGGTTCATTCCCAACACCCGGACTCGTTGTCATTCCCTACCTACTGAGCACCAGCAAGCAGGAATAACATCAAGAATCCCCTGTTCTTTTTCAGGGACCGGGCGTTGTCAACGAGTGTGGCTCTTTCCCGCCTGAGTTAGGGCTTGTTTGAGCTCCCTCTCCCCTCCCTTCCCTCCCCGCGCCCCTTACCCTCAAATCCATCACCAAAAAAACCCGCGGCTCGGGTGAAATTTGGCTCAGCGGCAGCTGCTCGAGACGCGTCTCGATGCCGTCCACAACCGGCTTCCAGGCCTCCAGGTGGCGTGGGACGCGTTTACACAGCCAGCCCATGGCTAGGGGGGTGGGGTGGGGGTGGGGGTGGGGGTGGGGGGGGTGCTGGCCACAGTGGGGTGGGGGTGGGGGTGGGGTAGGGGGGGTGCTGGCCACAGTATTTTACCAAAGTCACCCAAGTGGTAGGGGTTAAAGGGAAGCAACCGATTCCAATGTCTGACTTCGAAGCAGAAAAACACATGACCCCAGTATTGGCCAAAATCAGTGGTTGGGACCCGGGTGCTGGGGGTACATTGGGAGTAAGTTTGTGGCAAGACCCATGGGACCCATCATGTTGCTACTTGTGTTTGTTTGTGTTTTTTTCAGCTTTGCAGTGAGAACTCTGAACAATTGGTGATGTCCTTTCAACATAACCCCAACACGGGTACCACCGCTGGGACCAAACCACGTGTACATGTTTGTGCATCGGCTTACTCATCTTTAGATGGTCGGGCATAGACGAACCGAGTGGGGAAATGTATGGTCCCCCCCTTGGATATGACTTGTCGTAGAAGTATATGACATTGCTTAGAGGCTGTGGAGGGGCCAGGGAGCTTTTGTGTGAGGCGAGGGTTTACCCTGTGGTTTTATCTTTCTCTCTCTTGATTATTTGCCGTTGTGGCTTGTTTGCCCTAGCTGCCATTTGTTGTTAAAACATAGTTATATCCCATTCTTCCCCGGTGGCTGGGGTGAAAAGCCTTGTGGAACAAGGGCTACCAGTTAGGCTGAATTACCAACCCGATGCGGAATCACCAAATGCACCTTCCACACCGCATTTGCTTCATTCCCAAGTCAACCCCGTTAAACGGCCGACCACCAGCGGCCGGGTCAAACTTGTTAAATGGAAATGGCTGAAGCAATCTAAAAGGCCGCCCTCTTCAACTCAAATGGATAGCGGTAGCTTTCGCCCTGTGAGCTTGAAGCCGGAGTGGCACCGTTGAAGGTTCAACTGTCATATCCACTCTCGCAGATTAACATGGGACCCACACACCAATCTTCACAGAGGAATCGTTTTTGGTGCTAAATTGATTTGGCGAACTTGAACATGGCAATCGGTTGAAGCAGGGTGGCCTTTGTTTGTCACCACCTAGCTTTGCGTCAAGATGGGCGGACCCCCAAGAACTACAAAGGCGGTCGCACCTAATTCTGGTTGGGAGTCTCCCTTCCTGACCGTCATATATGCGTCATTGGGGGACCCCAAACAAAAAAGGTGGTTTCCCTTTGGTTTCCCTTCAAACCAAGCAAGCCTGCTTTGGCCGGAGACATCAACTGCTTGTCCCTTTCGCTTGAAAAAACCAGCAGTGCTGGGCTCCCCAGCCATCACCAGGAAAAGAGCCCACAGGAATGGCTCCAGGATCGACCGCAGCTCCACCAGAATCCTGGAAACCCGCTGGGTGTTGGGTCAGGTTCCCCAGGAACTTCTGGGCCAGACTATACACATAAATCCGCCGACCCCTTTGCAAAAGCCAAGTTAGTCTCTGCAAAGGGGCGAGGCGTGTTCTAAGTGGTGGTTAGGGGGAGTCTGAGGGGGGGAGGGGGGGTCCCGCGGCGGTTTTTTGACACGCCTAACCTCTAACTCTAACCTCTAACTCTAACCTCTAACCCTAACCTCTAACCCTAACCTCTAACCCTAACCTCTAACCCTAACCTCTAACCCTAACCTCTAACCCTAACCTCTAACCCTAACCTCTAACCCTAACCTCTAACCCTAACCTCTAACCCTAACCTCTAACCCTAACCTCTAACCCTAACCTCTAACCCTAACCTCTAACCCTAACCTCTAACCCTAACCTCTAACCCTAACCTCTAACCCTAACCTCTAACCCTCTAACCTCTAACCCTAACCTCTAACCCTAACCTCTAACCCTAACCTCTAACCTCTAACCCTAACCTTTAACCCTAACCTCTAACCCTAACCTCTAACCCTAACCTCTAACCCTGATGATGACGAAGTCGATAATGATGATGATTGATAATGATGATTATGATGATGATGATGATGATGATGATGGATGATGATGATGATGATGCTGATCATGATGATCATGATGATGATGCCCATAATGATGATGATGATGAAGATGATGATGATCATTATGATGATGGATGATGATGATGATGATGATGATGATGATGATGATCATGATGATGATGCCCATGATGATGATGATGATGATGATGATGATGATGATGATGATGATGATGATGATGATGATGATGCACGATGATGATGATGATGATGATGATGATTGTGATGATGACGATGTTGAGGATGATGATGATGATGCTGATGATTATGATGATGGTGACGATGATGATGATGATGGTGATGGATGATGATGATGATGATGATGACCGATGATGATGATGATGATGATGATGATGATGATGATTCTGATGCTGATGATGATGATTATGATAATGATGCCGATGATGATGATGATGATGATGATCATGATGATGATGATTGATGATGATGATGATTATGATGATGATGATGATGATGATAATGATGATGTCGATGATGATGATGGATGATGATGATGATGATGATGATGATGATGATGATGATGATGATGATGATGATGATGATGATGATGATGATGATGGATGATGATGATGATGATGATGATGATGGTGATGGTGATGGTCATGGTGATCATGATGATCATCATGATGCTGATGATGATGGATGATGATGATGATGATGATGATGCTCCAACCTTAAGCTCTAACCCTAACCTCTAACCTTAACCTCTAACCCTAACCTCTAACCCTAACCTCTGACCCTAACCTCTAACCCTAACCTCTAACCCTAACCTCTAACTCTAACCTCTAACCCTAACCTCTAACCCTAACCAGCCTCATCATCATCATCATCATCATCATCCATCATCATCATCGTCATCGTCATCGTCATCGTCATCACATCATCATCATCATCATCATCATCATCATCAATCATCATCATTATCGCCTTCGTCATCATCAGGGTTAGAGGTTAAGGTTGGAGGTTAGGGTTAGAGGTTAGGGTTAGAGGTTAGGGTTAGAGGTTAGGGTTAGAGGTTAGGGTTAGAGGTTAGGGTTAGAGGTTAGGGTTAGAGGTTAGGGTTAGAGGTTAGGGTTAGAGGTTAGGGTTAGAGGTTAGGGTTAGAGGTTAGGGTTAGAGGTTAGAGTTAGAGGTTAGGGTTAGAGGTTAGGGTTAGAGGTTAGGATTAGAGGTTAGGGTTAGAGGTGATGGTGCTGATGATGATGATGATGATGATGGATGAAGATGATGATGATGATGATGACGATGATGACGATGATGATGATGGCGATGCTGATGATGATGATGATGCTGATGGATGATGAGGATGATGATGATGACGATGGTGATGATGCTGATGATGATGCTGATGATGATGAGGATGATGACGACGATGATGATGGTGATGATGATGCTGATGAGGATGATGATGATGATGATGCTGAGGATGATGATGATGATGGATAATGATGATGATGGATAATGATGATGATGATGACGATGATGATGATGATGACGATGATGATGATGATCATGATGATCCTAATCATGATGATCCTGATCATGATGCCCATGATGATGATGATGATGATGATGATGATGATGGATGATGATGATGGATGATGATGATGATGATGATGATGATGATGATGATGATGATGATGTTGATGATGAATGATGAGGACGACGATGATGATGATGGTGATGCCCATGATGATGATGATGATGACGATGATGATGATGATCATGATGATCATGATGCTGATCATGATGATGATGACGCCGATGATGATGATGATGATGATGATGATGATGATGATGATGATGATGATGGATAATGATGATGATGATGACGATGATGATGATGATGACGATGATGATGATGATGATGATGATGATGATGCTGATGATCGTGCCCGATGATGATGATGATGATGATGATGATGATGATGATGATGATGCCAATGGATGATGAGGATGGATGATGATGATGACGATGATGATGATGGTGATAATGATACCGATGATGATGATGGATGATGAGGATGATCATGATGATGCTGATGATGATGATGATGATGATGGTGACGATGATGATGATGATGGTGATGATGACGATGTTGATGATGATAATCATGCTCATGATGATGATGATGCTGCTGAAGATGATGGCGATGATGATGATGATGATGATGATGGTGATGGATGATGATGATGACTGATGATGACTGATGATGACAATGATGATAAGGATGATGATGATGATAAGGATGATGAATGGATGATGATGATCATGATGATGCTGATGATGGATGATGATGATGATGACGCTGATGATGATGATGATGATGATCATGCTCTAACCTTAACCTCTAACCCTAACCTCTAACCCTAACCCTAACCTCTTTCCCCAACCTCTAACCCTAACCTCTAACCCTAACCTCTAACCCTAACCTCTAACCCTAACCTCTAACCCTCACCTCTAACCCTAACCTCTGGTGGATGATGATGATGATGATGACGATGATCATGATGATGATGCCGATGATGATGAGGATGATGATGATGATGACGATGATGATGATGCTGATGATGATGCTGAGGATGATGGCGATGACGATGATGATGGTGATGATCACGATGATGCTGGTGAGAATGATGATGATGATGATGATGGATGACGACGATGATGATGATGATGACGATGATGATGATGATGACGATGATGATGATGCCGATGATGATGTTGATGATGACGATGATGATGATCATAATGATGATGATGATGATGATGATGATGAGGATGAGGATGATGATGATGAATAGTGATGATGATGATGATGACAATGATGATGATCATAAAGATGATGATGATGTTCATGATGAATGATGAGGACGATGATGATGATGGTGATGATGATGATGATGATGGTCATGATGATGATGATGATGATGGGGATGATGCCGATGATGATCATGATGATGATGATGATGGCTGATGATGATGATGATTATGATGATGATGGTGGTGGTGATGATGATGATGATGTTGATGTCGATGAATGATGATGCTGATGGTGATGATGCATGATGAGGTGAGGATGATGCTGATGATGATGATGATGCCTTCGTTACCTATCTTATTTTGGACACGTGTTTTATGTTTGGTGAGTTTTATTCTGGTATTCTTTTCTTTGATTTAAGATTTCGAGGAGATTTAGTCCATCTTTTATTATACCTTAGAGTTACTTGTGTTTTCTTGTTTCTTCTCTTTTTGCGAATCTGGCCAATTAATAATAATAATCATCATTATTATTATAATGTGTACCTCGTACCTCGAATTCTTAAAACAATATTTAAAACAACATCAACAATAAAAGCATATTGGGGGGTCGGCGGCATCAGGCGTCAGCCTGCTTAATACATTGAGACATATTTATATAGAGTATGTATGTTGTGTTGTGTTGTGTTGTGCTGTGATGTGCTGTGTTGTGTTGTGCTGTGCTGTGTTGTGTTGTGGTGTGTTGTGGTGTGTTGTGTTGTGTTTGGTGTGTTATGTGTGTATGTATGTGGGTATGTATGTGTGTATGTATGTGCGTATGTATATGTGTATGTATGTATGTATGTATGTATGTATGTATGTATGTATGTAATGTAATGTAATGTAATGTAATGTAATGTAATGTAATGTAATGTAATGTAATGTAATGTAATGTACTGTAATGTAATGTAAGGTAAGGTAAGGTAAATGTATGTAATGTAATGTAATGTAATGTAATGTAATGTAATGTAATGTAATGTAATGTAATGTAATGTAATGTAATGTAATGTAATGTAATGTAATGTAATGTAATGTAATGTAATGTAATGTAATGTAATGTAATGTAATGTAATGTAATGTAATGTAATGTAATGTAATGTATGTATGTATGTATGTATGTATGTATGTATGTATGTATGTATGTATGTATGTATGTATGTATGTATGTATGTATGTATGTATGTATGTATGTATGTATGTATGTATGTATGTATGTATGTATGTGTGTGTGCATGTATGTATGCATGTATGCATGTATGCATGTATGCATGTATGCATGTATGCATGCATGCATGCATGTATGCATGCATGCATGCATGTATGTACGTGCGTACGTACGTATGTGTGCATGAATAATATGACAAATGGTTTGTGTGTGTGCGCGGTTTGAGGGTACACCTTTTCAGGTTGGTTGAAAGTGAAACCAAAAGGACACCCCACCGTCTTAAGGTTCCTCTAATTTCACACATACCCAGGGAACAGGTCTTGGTCTTGCTCCGAAGCTAAGCAGGGTGGTTGGGATTTGCCAACTTCTGTGCTACCACGGGAAGGCTTTCTATGGCAGATTCTCAATTTGGTTGTCCTTGTAAAAACAAAAAAATACAGGGACGTTGAGAGTGGGAACTAACTTTTTCCACAACCTGTTGCTCAACAGATGGCCTAACCCCTCGTTGAAGGTTGCCCCAAAGTCCTTGGCAGGCCAGAAGCAAAACTGGCCCTGGAAAACGAACCGGGAAAAAAAAGAAAGAAAAAAAAACAGCTTTGTCGACCCTTGCGGCGACGCTTGCTTAGCTTCGCGAACGGGGCCTCATGGAGCAGTAAGCGCCGATGATGCACAGCACCATGAAGCCAACGCGTTCTCGGAAGACCTCCCGGTGGAAAAGCCAAAGCCCGGGTCTGGCCCTTTCCCAAAGGGACGTTCCGGTCCAGATTTTTTTCCCATGTAGCGAGTGTTTTTGAGATGCCTTCTGCAAGTAAAGCGGGGGCTTTTGCACTTCTAGGTCCTTGTTCTCTTTTCTCGGGAAATTCAGAAGGTACACATTCCCCCTGGCTTACGGCTGCACAAACTTCCATAAAGGGCTCCACGGTTGAGTTCGTTTACTCCCACGAGTGCTCGTTACAATTTGTTGAAACCTACATGATACACAGCAAATGAGGATGAGAGTAGTCTCTCTAGGTGTCCTTTTAGAAGCATAGATGGTCAAATACATGATTAAGACCAGACTGGAACCAGTTAAATCCATCTAGTTACCCTCCCTCCAGCAATCATGGAAGTTGACAGGAGGCTTTTGGAAGACTATTGTTTTCCTTTGGGCAGCAACCGAGTCCAAGTCCGGAATTGCACGGTCAGCCAAGCGGACTTGAAATGGTCACCCACTTATCTAGCCAGTCTATATTCGTTCACAGACTAGAAATCAGGAGCCAACCACAATATGACAGATAACATCTTCTCTTCCAGTCTTTGCACAAGTTTGCACAAAAGGGAAAACCGCAAGGACCAAAAGGCTTCAGCTCCAAACTTCCATCCGGCGCCTGGCCCTCCGTTCGCGCCAGCACCACCTGACGGGTGCGGAGGGGTCCGAGGCACCGCGCCGGCACCTTTCCAAGCCTCCCTCCCGGAGCCGGAAGACCTTTAAAATGCCGGCGGCTCGGACCCCAGCGCTCTAAGCTGGGAACAAACAAATCGAGGTCGCGACACAGAAGGCAACCAACAAATCCTCCCAAACCCTACAGGGGGGTTTGATCCTGCCAAAACGCGGATTCGGCCGCACCTGCGGGATGCTGCCCGGCAGCACCTGCACAAGATTCCAGGCATCTCCTTTGAGCACAATGGCTTGACTCAAGCTGAACCAGCCCATAATTTCCAAACCAAACCAGGACGACCAAAAAAAAGGGACCAGCATGGAAAGAACAGCATGGACATCGGTGCGCTACCTTTTTGGTTGATATGTCCACCTCTATACATTTTTGCTTGAGCGGGGAAGACAAAACGTCACTCATCTGGACAAATCATGGCCCAATGCAAGGAGACTCAAAGGCATAGAGGAATCTGCGAAATCTTCATGGGTGAGCTCATTTCATCACCCGCAAGCAGGCTAAACACGAAAATGTGAGAAAGTCAAATTTGTGTTGGTGGTTTTGTATGGTACTTGTTTGATGTGGGGGAACCACAAAAAAAACATAACTTTGGTGTGGGGACTTCTTAGTGACCCCGGTTTGGGACCCTAGTTTCTCTTTTCAAGATCACAACAGGGTCCCAACAATTGTAACACCTGATTGAACGAGCCTATGGCCATCATTGCCTCACAAAAGTCTGAGACACTGTCAGCTTCGGTTTGGGTTGTGGTTGCCTTCTGCGCAGGTGTAACCAGGATATTCCGTGTAAAGCTAAGAGGTAGGCAACCCCTGTCTGATAACCAAGTGGGACCTGGAAGCATTCGCTCATTTGCCTTGGACTTCGCTTTGTTTGGCCATCCAAAGGGCAAAACTAAGGTTCAAACGCAGGTTTGGGGTTGGAAAAGCAGGGTCCGACAAGCCCCAGCTCCCCCTGGAAGGAAGGAATCACCATGAAAAAGGGACCCCGCTTCAAACTAGGTCAGGGGGTTGATCGGGGTTTAACATTGCAGTGGCAATCGACCACATAACACAGGAACAACAACGGAGGCAGCAACATCCAAAACTGCAATAACCGCAATATCAGCAGCAGCAGCAGCAGCAGCAGCAGCAGCAGCAGCAGCAGCAGCAGCAGCAGCAGCAGCAGCAGCAGCAGCAGCAGCAGAGCAGCAGCAGCAGCCGCAACAACAACCATTGTCCCGAAGAACTCGACATTGTGCATCCAATCTGCATGACTTGCGCAAGTTCGCCAGTTCCATTCAGGAACCCCAAATGATCTTTCCTGCGCGGCGAAGCGGTTCTCAATTCGCGTCGCTGAGCCTTGGCCTCATCGTCCCAAAAAGCGGACCAGCCTGAAGGGGCAAACGGTGGACTCTTTGAACCTCCATTTGCGAAGACGTCCCCTGGAAAAAATGTCAACCGTGTTTTTGTTTGGTGTGTGTGTGTGTGCGTTGCCAGTAGTGACAGATTCCCCTTTAAGCCACCAGGGGATTGAACATATTCTTCAGCATACTGGAAGATAAGGGAAGAGGAAGGGAAAGGGAAACACATCCTCCCGACTCCCAACCAGTGGTTTCCCATGTGAACCCAGGACCCCCTGGTTTGCTGTATTCTTTGTTTTGGGGGGGACACACCTCACTTCCTGAGTGGATGGGACCAAGCAAGTTTGGATGGCACCAACAAGTTCCGACTTGATGTTCTCATCTCATGTGGTCTTCCTGAAAAGTATCATCAAGTGCAAAAGGTCGGGGGGTGCATAACTCAATTTTGATCACCCAAAGGAGCGTCACCAATCGGGCTGAATTACAAATTCCAACCTCACTTCACCAGAAAGGCTCCCTGGAATCTTGAAAGTGACCAGTCCACTGTGGAATCCTTTTGGGCTGATGAAGGCAACTTTCTATTGTGGCTTTCTTGTATTGAGGAAAGCAAGCCCACCGGTGCTTCCCTTGGTGGAACGCCGCTCTTGTGGGGTGGTGTTCAAAGAGCAACTCAACTGCAAACAGCACCTCCGTATTCAGAGGTCGCCTTTAGGTCAGCCCTACTTCTCTCAACCGCCAAGGACCGATTGCCTGTTTCATCACAAAAGCCTCTGGAATTGCAGCTCTTGGTTCTGCCAGTGTCAAAGGAACAAAGTAGGAAATCGAGGGCCCCGTCTCAATGCTCCTTCAAAAGCACTGGAGAGCAACATCCGGGGTTTACACGATATTTGGCTGTGGGTCAAAAATAGGTACCAAAATGGGTTGCCCTGGCAATAATGAAGCCAACTACATAAAAATGCGTGGTGGTGACTACGTAAGGTTGACCCATACCCACTTCCGGTATCTGTTTTTTTTTAGGGACGCCCCCAAAATGGCGGTTTTCATTTTGCTGTCCAGTCAAACCAACCAAAACGGGGTACACTGACAAAAAACAACAGACTCTTTTCAAAGGAGTTGAACCCTTGGCTTCTGGGTGCTTCCACCCCTGAGAGAAATCCCCAATTTGGTTGATCCAAAGTCCAGACTCATGGCCTGAGCCTATCGGAACTGTGGCCCTGGCTCTGCGGCTTCTCTTTGCGACCCACTCGTGGTTTGGTTTCCCCAGTGAGCAACCGCAGAAGTAAGAAAAACGATAGAGAAATGTTCATCACCTCACAAATGAGCCCCAAACCGTCAACCAGCTAAGGTCTACTTTAACCCTATGTTGACTGATCTTGGCGCCTTTTTCGTTGATATCTACCTGCCAAAACCATCGCATGGGTGTCACGGGCTCAAAGCTCGAGCTCTGCCACATGCCTGGGCCCTTGACCCATCCGACCGGAGAAAGAAGTGGGCGGTACAAAAAGACGCAACCTCTTTTGTACTGACCTCAGCTTTCAGCTTGCAAACTGCAGGATTGCCTCTTGAAAAAGGACACCCCTGGAAAAAATCAACCAGCTGTGTGTCTGATCCTGGGCCAATATGGCCATGGGTCAAAATCCAAATCGTATCCCCAGTGAACATCCCAAGCCCACCAAAATAAACCGAAATGGGTGGTGCACATACCTGGTACCATTGGTTTTGACCCACAGCCATATTGCTCGGCAGAACTGAAAGAGCTTCCGACCACCACCCCGCGCCTGCATCCGAGCCGGTGGTTTCAGCAAAGGGCGGCCGCCTGCGCGACGAGGTGTGCGGATTCAGGCCGCGTGATGGGGTAGTTATTTCACTTGCTATTCACATGGCAACCAAAGAGGCTCACCCCAAGGGTATCATGTTAAAAGTCGAGTCTTTTGGGGTCCGTGCGAATATATATATATATATATATAATATGCAAAGCTAGCACTGCAACAGGCGCTTACTTGCAGCAAACCCACCCTTCCATCAACAGGTCCTGAACCGAAACATGCTTCGAAGGTGCTTCTTTCAGATTTGTCGGGAGGGCATCATAGTTCTAGTACACACTCGGGCATGCTTTTTTGGGGAATTCCCTGTTGATGGGTTGAGTTAGGGAAACCACGACGGAAACCAAGTATGTTGGGGCGCTGAATTTTGGGACCATGCCACTCGGGACTCGGACTCGCACTGGTTCGGCAGAAACAACGCTGAGAGCTTCACTGTCTGCTCGTTCGGTTGTCGAAGCAAGCAGCCTTCACAGAGGGGCCATGACCGAGACCCCAAGTGGGTATGTGTCAAGATAGAGGGACCCAACAAATTGTGATTTCGTTTTGGTTTACCCTCACACCTGTGAAAGAAAGGTAGCAAGAAAACACACGCACACACACACACAAGCATGTTTCATCAGCAATGCAACAATAAAACTTGAAAGAGACCTTGAAAAACAATGTAGACATCCCACGTGTTTCGCACGACTTGTAATTTATTTAAACCAAGATTTGTACGTTGGGAACCCTTTCTTTTACTACGAGACCCGATCGCCAGCAGATTCCCCAGGCCAAAAGGCAGGAGTTCACGCTTTCTGCAAGGAAACACGGCGCAAAAGGCACAACGCGAAAGCTCCTACGCGAAAACCATGCCGCCCAGAATGTGTGTTGTTTGTGAGTTGAAGTGTTTCATGTTTGGGATAAGTGCATGCTTCCCATAGATGATGACCCCTTGTTGTGTTGTCTTGAAAGGGAAGCCCAAAGTTTTGGTGGCTCCTAGTTTAGCAAACCCATCGAGACACACACACACACAAACATTGTGAAAGCTCTCGGAGTAATGATGTACACTCCCAAGACTGCAGGTACACACCGGTGGCCGGTCGGTATTTCCCCGTGATGGCTAGCTCAGGTTCGCTCACAGATTGCCATCACGGCCTCTGCCGCCTTCATGGTCAACAAATGACTTTCTTGGGCACTATGGTCTCTGCCATGAATAACAAACGTCGTCACCTCAGCGCGGAGATAATTCGTGTCATAGCTGCAATGTTCCTTTGCAGCCCCCGAGTGACTGAAAACAAAACTCCGCCAGCTGTGAGAAGGCAGCTAAGCTAGTTCTCTCGTCGCCTTTGGGCCTTCGAATCTCTAAACGGCTCTGCGGGAAATCACATCCAGCCGCAATCACGGAAAGGCATAGTAGATCAAGTCAACAAACAAACAGCGCTCAAGGTAGATCAATCACGTTAGATGGATCAAGCGCCTCCTGAAACCCTGGATGGATCGAGGCGTTTTTGGCACGCAGCCGGAAAACACACACTGTGAAAGTACGTGGAGCCCGTGAGACTAGCAATGGATTGAGTTCCCGAGACACGGATGGCCGGTCAATGCTTCACGGTCATGGACCGTCCTTCCCTTAGGTGGCTCGATGGCATTCAGCAAGCCACTTTAAAAAAAAGGTACCGCAGGAACCACCGCAGCTGTCAAGCCCCCTTCCGTGGGAAAACAAATGGCACTCTGGGTTTGCTAGTGTTTGCTTAGGGGGAAGCAACTTCACTAGGAAAGGAGCAAAAGAGCAACCCAATGGTGGTCTGGGTGTCCTTGCCACTTCTCCCCGCCTCTGTGAGGGCGGTGCCCATGCCATGTTTGTCAACGCATGTGACACGTATTGACGTATCCCTTGACATGGATTTGTTGCAAACTCTTGGCCAACAGCAGTTTGGGTTACCCTCCAAACCTGAACAGCAAGAGGAAATAGCATTGCAAGATGTGGTTGTGCAATTCCATGATGGTTGGTTCACTTTTCAGATCTAAACATGATCCCATCTTTGAGTTCGCCGCGGTAGCGTCAATTGGTTCACTATTTTTCTTAAAGTTTTACCAAGCTAATATCAAGGTGAATCAGGAAACAAACAACAAGCACCGAAGCAACATGAAGGACGTAGCTGGGCGAGGCCTGCTGTTGCCGTCATGGTCCAGTGGATACTTTGACTGAAATTGTGTTTCCTTTTGCTTGTCCGAAGGCACACTTCCTGGCGATCCATGCTCATCTGTCCGAGCCAGAGCTATGTGTCCAGCGTTGCCGCGCGAAGCCATAGGAACATAGGAAAACACGGCGGGGAGCTGTTCAAAACGACATGGGACCCCCAACTAATCAAGTTCAAAGGGAGAACCAACCCCAAAAGCAGTCGGCTCCTAATACTCTTTGTTTGGTCGTCATGCTCCATGGCACCTGCAAAAACCTTGCGAATGACATACCTTTGGACCATCACAAGCCTTCCCTTCGTACCAGCTCGGGTAGTGGGTGACGGCTCATCCAGAGCGGTTCCTCCAAATGGAGAAGCCACCAGACAAATCCAAGCACCTTGGGGTTCCCTGGAAAATAATCCCAACGACCAGCTCATGTGTCACTTGTCTCAATAGGTTCAAAACATGTTGAACAGCAACCCAGGGCTAAAACAATCGCCTCAAAAAACGAAGCAAAACGTTGGGCGTAGGTCAAAAAGCAGGCACCAAAGCGGAACCTTGGCAAATGGAAACAAGGACGAAAATCAAATGTGCGGTCTGGTGGGTTAACTTTGACCCATACCCATGCAAAAAACATGTACATATCTGTACATACCCATGTGTGTGTGTGTGTTTGTTTTGGAGGCCATCCATATCCCGGTGGTTTGCTTGTGACACATACCCGTTGCCCGGTGACGGCAAGAGAGAGCCGCCATGTTTGGCGAACCGGGAGCCACTGAACACTGATCCGCCCCCCTGCCAACAAAAGAATCTCGCTGGTTGAAAGGTAACATGAAGGAAACCCAAAAAGGCAAAACAAAGTAGGTTGAGTGTGGTAATGCTGGAAAGCAAGGCTTCCTAAGTCCAAGCAAAGCGACTGTGGCGATCCAATTCAACAAGAAACATCCAGAGATGTATGGTCGCTCTGCTTCCAACGTTGACGCCTCCGGTGGACAAGAAAACAGGGCGCCTCTTGTGTGATAGTTGCTTTCAAAGGGTAACCCTCTCCAATAAAACAAAGGCACACGGAAGCAACGCACTGGAGGTCTGCCAAACACTCCTCTAAGTTTCCTCCCCCTTGGCCCAAGTTTGGGGTACGCCAGAAACAATATGTGATGATTATGTTTCGTAACTCAAGCTTGAAACGTCCGCAACAAAAGAAATCCTAGGATCCCCAGTGCTTCTGGGGATGGACGAAATCCTGCGCCACCGTTCAGAAACCCTGGAATGATTCGATTCCCTGTAAATACCAACAAACCATGGTTTCCCTTGTGCACAAAGCGGTGCAAGATTTCGTCCACCCACCGTTGCTCGGATCCGTGGAACATGTGGATAGCTCGTGGCCATTGCTCGAATCGCCTCCCAGGTGCAGCATGTGCAGCTGGCCACGATCGAGGCCGTCCGCTTAGACTGGCAAGAACCGGCTTGGCTGCAGCTGCAAACCACACGAATGTGTCTGCATAATATACATTGTTACATACGTGTATATATATATGTATAATATACACAGATGTCTTCATATGTATGTATGCACGTGTTTTCACTTCCTGAGTGGATAGACCATACTTTTTGCTTGCCGCTGAAAAATGTTTCCTAAACAACATATATTCCAGGAACTCAGGGAGTACATACATGTTTTTCAAGATACCCTAATTTCAGGTTGGTATGAGCGGTACGATGTGCACGTGAGCGTGCATCGCACACATTTAGCGGCAATGGGCAAAAAGGCATCTTTTGTTTGTAGTTGGCCTTGAAGAAACTGCCAACGTGATGAAAGAGGGGACCACTGGTGGTCTGGGCAACTTGTTGCCTGCCCCCTTCCTAGCCCTGCTGTTGCACCCAACAATTCTAACTATGCTGTTTGATTCTGGTCCATACTTCTTGAAAGCTAAAATGCCCTCGCTTGGTTGACCATGTTGACCGACACCTTCCCGAAAACAACTCATAACATCTGAAACATATCCATTTTGCGGTTTGCTTGGACTCCTCGGACATCATTTCCATGACGTGCTTCGTGGCCAGCTTTCACAAAGGCCAGAAGAGCAAAAGCATGAAGCAACCAGCGACCACACCCCACTGACACAGGGATCCTTATATTATACACCTGAACATTGCAACTTGTAAATGGTGGCTTCCCTGTATTTTGGTGGAAAAAGCCTTGTTTTA